TAAAGGAAAAGATACTTGTTAACATAATGGAGGAATATTGTCTTACTACAGAAGAATTTAACTCTGTTTGGGAACAATGTGTTCAGGACTTACTCCTAAAACTTGATCTAACAGAGGTTACAGAAGAAGAAAAGATTCCACTGGGTAAAACAGAACCTGTTGGTGATTTGAATAAGGATTTTAAAATGGACTTTTAAAAAATTGCCAGACTATAAAAGAGATATGGAAGACTTGCAAAAAGATGCTGTGGATGTGAAAATAGATTTTAAAATGCTTGACTACAAGGAGAAAGAAGTTGTAATGGACATGCAAACTTTTCTGGTTGATGTTTTAATAATTAAAAGGGATATCCAGATTATAAATCAGAAGAGTGACTTTGAGAGTTATTTTACTTTGGATCCACAGAAGGGGAACACTAAATCTCTCAAGTTGTTTCTGAAAACAGACAGGCAGAAAATGAGGAGAGACTATTATCTGGGACCTTATTTAAAGTGACTGGAGATTGAACCTCTTAAAAAGAAGACAAAGGAGTTCAAAGTGGACTTATCGGATCAGGGTTGAACTGTATAAGTTCTGATTTTGGGTTGTTATTATTGGAATCGTGTTTTTTTTTCTGACCAGGATTTAAGATGTTGATTTACAGATGTAAAAGGGATGTATTTGACTTAGTGTAAAATATATATGTTACTATAATTGGTATGCCTATGGGGATAGATCTTTTATGTTTTACTTATTAGAAAAAGTTATTAGTTAATAGTAAATAGTTTTGTTGAAGGCTTTCATGGCTGGAATACGATGGCTGGTGTAGGACTTCCAGGCTGTGTGGCCGTGTTCTGGAAGTTTTGTTTCCTAACGTTTCGCCAGCATCTGTGACCGGCATCTTCAGCAAAATCATGAAACAAACCAACACACTGACAAGGAGCTCCTCCCTTCACCCCAAAGTACTTCAACACATATGCAAGACAAAAGCCCTTTCACCCAGACTATACGGACTCCCCAAAATCCACAAAGACTCGATCCCACTCAGACCCATCGTAAGCGCCATTGGTTCCCCAACATATGAATTATCCAAA